TGTGTAAATCTAGACTTGTTTCACTTAGAGCTTTATCACTGCAGACAGGGCTGAACAGAAGGGAAATAATGGCTCAGGGAATGTAAGAAATACTACGTTACATTTTGCATGAAACTATGTTACAGTTGAGGCGTTACCGGGTTACTGGGTTGGCTTGAATGTTTTAGATATTCAGATTCAGACAGCCCCTGTCAAGCATGGAACACACACATAGCTCTGTCGTTTGTAAGCCACTGGCGGCTTGCTGTACAAATATTGAAAAGGCAAACCCCATAGAGCGATGCATCTTACAAAAACAGTTCCGCTCCATGAAGAAATAAAATAGGTGTTTCCACGTTGCACTATTGGGGGTATATTTCAAGTACATTTGAACTTGCTCACGAAGATTTCAAAGAGCGACAGACGACTCATGCTGAAAGGATTAGTAAGTTTGCAAAACGTTATAGTAGATATGTGGAGAAAGTATTTTATTGACTTGCCTTTGCACGTGTTTATGACGAGTGCAACGAGAGGGGAAGGAAACGATCGCCTTTTGCTACTAAATGGTAGCGATTCATAAATATACTCATCATATTGTCGGAATCGAACACTGGAGTCTTTTTAAAGCAGCGATTTCTTAAGCCAAAGAAAAGGGGTTTGTTGCTCTTTGCTCATGCTTAACATCATCATCATCATCATCATCATTATAATAATCGTTATAAAGATAAAACGACTAACACCCCAAACCTTCTGTTTTCGCTATTACTACAAACAGGAGTCTAAGACTTCATTAGCTTCATTTGGAATACCACCAAGAAAGATCATGTTCGTTTTTCCTTGCATTCCACCGCGACTATCGCCTCCGCCATGCCACGATGCCGCCACCTCCATCACCATGGTCCTCCTGGTCCTCCACGACCTCCGCCGCCACCACCTCCACGGCCATATGGTCCTCCTGGTCCTCCACGACCTCCGCCGCCTCCACGGCCATATGGTCCTCCTGGTCCTCCACGACCTCCGCCGCCACCTCCACGGCCATGGTCCCCACGACGACCTCGCCCTCCTGGTCCTCCACGTCCCCCCTCCGCCGCCACCATATGGTCCTCCCGTCCACGGCCATATGGTCCTCCTGGTCCTCCACGACCTCCGCCGCCACCTCCACGGTCATATGGTCCTCCTGGTCCTCCACGGGTCGCTGCCGCCTCCTCCGACCATCATATGGTCCTCCTGGTCCCTTCCACGACCTCCGCCGCCACCTCCACGGCCATATGGTCCCTCCACGGACCTCCGCCGCCCATATGGTCCTCCTCCTGGTCCTGGACCTCCCTCCACGACCTCCCTCCATATGGCCCGCCACCTCCCACGGCCATGGTCCTCCTGGTCCACGACCCCGCCGCCACCTCCGGCCCGGTCCTCCACGACCTCCGCCGCCACCTCCACGGCCATGGTCCTCCTGGTCCTCCACGACCCCGCCGCCACCGCCACGGCCATATGGTCCTCCTGGTCCACGACCTCCGCCGCCACCTCTACGGCCATATGGTCCTCCTGGTCTCCACGACCTCCGCCGCCACCTCCACGGCCATATGGTCCTCCTGGTCCTCCACGACCACGCCACCTCCACGGCCATATGGTCCTCCTGGTCCCCACGATCCCCGCCACCTCCTCCTGGTCCTCCACGACCTCCGCCGCCACCTCCACGGCCATATGGTCCTCCCCGGTCCTCCATCCATGGTCCGCCACCTCCACGGCCATATGGTCCTCCTGGTCCTCCACGGCCTCCTCCTGGCCGCCCGCTCCACGGCCATATGGTCCTCCTGTCCTCCACGACCCCGCCGCCACCTCCCGTCCTCCTGGTTCATGGACCTCCGCCGCCCTCCACGGCCATATGGTCCTCCTGGTCCTCCACGACCTCCGCCGCCACCTCCACGGCCATATGGTCCTCCTGGTCCTCCACGACCTCCGCTGCCACCTCCACGGCCATATGGTCCTCCTGGTCCTCCACGACCTCCGCCGCCACCTCCACGGCCATATGGTCCTCCACGACCTCCGCCGCCACCTCCACGGCCATATGGTCCTCCTGGTCCTCCACGACCTCCGCCATATGGTTCCTCCTCCCACGACCTCCGCCGCCACGGCCATATGGTCCTCCACGACCTCCGCCGCCACCTCCACGGCCATATGGTCCTCCTGGTCCTCCACGACCTCCGCCGCCACGGCACGGCCATATGGTCCTCCTGGTCCTCCCACGACCTCCGCCGCCACCTCCACGGCCATATGGTCCTCCACCTCCACGGCCATATGGTCCTCCTGGTCCTCCACGACCTCCGCCGCCACCTCCACGGCCATATGGTCCTCCCTGGTCCTCCACGACCATATGGTCCTCCTGGTCCTCCACGACCTCCGCCGCCACCTCCCGGCCATATGGTCCCTCCTGGTCGCCACCTCCACGGCGTCCTCCACCCTCCGCCGCCACGGGCCATATGGTCCTCCCTCCACGGCCATATGGTCCTCCTGGTCCTCCACGACCTGCCGCACGGCCACCTCCACGGCCACCTATGGTCCTCCTGGTCCTCCACGACCCGCCACCTCCACCGCCATATGGTCCTCCCACCTCCACGACCTCCATATGGTCCTCCTGGTTCTCCACGACCTCCGCCGCCACCATATGGTCCCTCCACGACCTCCGCCGCCACCTCCACGGCCATATGGTCCTCCTGGTCCTCCTGGTCCTCCACGACCCCCGCCGCCACCTCCACGGCCATATGGCCCTGGTCCGCCGCCACCTCCATATGGTCCTCCTGGTCCTGCCACGACCGCCATATGGTCCTCCCGTCCTCCACGACCTCCGCCGCCACCTCCACGGCCATATGGTCCTCCTGGTCCTCCACGACCCCCGCCGCCACCTCCACGGCCATATGGTCCTCCTGGTCCTCCACGACCCCCGCCGCCACCTCCACGGCCATATGGTCCTCCTGGTCCCCCACGACCTCCGCTGCCACCTCCACGGCCATATGGTCCTCCTCCGCCTCCACCTCCCCCTCCCTGCTTGGCATTACATGGTTTAGCATCATTCTGTTATCGATTTTGTGTTTTTCTGGTAGTACCACATCAACAACACTTGAGTCCTTGAATGTGACAAAACCAAACCCACGAGACTTGACAGTCTGTGGGTTCTTCATCACAACACAATCGACCACTGTGTTGATCGCAGAAGTTGACTTCACGGCCTCTGCATCAGTGTTCCATAATACTGACAAATCAGCACTTTGCCAATTATTCGCGAAACAAATTCTCTTGCATTAAATCATACATTAGATGAGAAATTTGTCTCAGGATTAGGACATAACGCTAACTTCAAATACAACCGGGGAAGTCTGCGTTATCCAAGTTCCCTTATGTGTGTTAAAATATTGTCTTGGCTGTTTTCTTTGCAGATTCATTTATTCGTGTGATAAGAGCTTCATCATGATCATCAATTCCACACTACCTTGCTCGTCATCGTTGACCATCGCTGTTGACTTTAAATGGGATATTTGTTTTGCAAATGCAACGCTGTATAGAAACGCATGCGTATGACTGGAACGTCACGCCATTTTTACCAATATTCAAATATTACGGCGGGGGACACCAGAAATGGGTTTTACACATTGTACCCATGTGGGGAATCGAACCCGGGTCTTCGGCGTGACGAGCGATCGTTTAAACCACTAGGCTACCCCACCACCCGTGACTGGTGACCAGCCTCACAGAGCCGATTAACTACTAGAAGCGTCAACGCCATTGACGTTCCACGGGTCATTCCTGTGTCAGGTGGGCGTCACGAAGAGATGACGTCATGTTGCAGTCAACAGAAACCCGTGTCCGCGAGGTGGAACGCTGTCGACGACCTACATGTCACTGTGTATCTGATCAAACAGTTTGGTGTTGATGTTATGCCATGCTGATCACACGTTAACTGACCCCAAACGTGACGTTGTGTTGCCGCACTTGCCAGATTCCTCGATGCCTTTGATCACAAGAGGTAAAACTGTGTTCTGCAAACTTTTGTGCTGATAATCATTATGATGTCTATGATTCTGCAATACATCCGAACACAGGTTTCCATGCATCCAGTTCACATTGGGCCAATGACATGTTCATTCAGGAATTTGAACTCCTTCGTGTATTTACCCAATCATCGTGTAGTGGGACTCTATTTTGTCGATATCATCAAAATTCGATCCGTAACAAACTTTGAGCAGTATATTTTATCTATGAATTTCATTGTCCGACACAAAATGCAAGCTCCCTTAATATCTTATTACTTTACTATATACATGTGTCGTAGGCATAGACATGTTTGTATATTCTTTGAGTTAAGTTAAAGTTGTGTTATCTACATCTAAATCACAGTGCTGACAATATCCATGAAATATCAGCAGCTTATTATCATGACCATCAGCACAGCCATGTACAGATCAGCTGCCTGCGTGTAATTAACCCTAATGAACCTTAGAGTATGGCCGGTTGGCCACGGAAGTTTAACATTGTGGATGAGGTGCATGCTGGATACTGCAGGTTGACCATACATGTATCGTAATACGATACGGGGCAGCCTGACAGTCAGTATAGTATATAGACAATGAATTCTTAATGTAACGGGACTTGACCCTCGGACAGGTGGGCTGACGATTGCCTCTGTAATGCTGCCTGGCCGTTGCTGCGCTATCATGCAATTGCATATTTAGATGCCGAATAAAGTGTTGTGGACCCACTGATGGACTTCTGTGTTTGAAGAGACAGATATCCCCCAAAACGCTTTAACCAGCCCGGGATACATGTATATAATCTTTCATAGCCCCCCACAGGGCAAATCATTGAGCGTGGTGCCTCAGATGTCAATGTTGTCCATATCCACGATTTGAATTAAGAACGTCTATCCTTTACTTCAGTGTGCCCGGCAAGGGTGGACTTTGTACATCAAATGACGACAATGGCGTTAGGATTAATACCAACAATCAAATCAAATCTATGTTCCCTACCTTGTACCTGTAGATAGGCGTTTTGTCCAGCATTTTCCTTCAGACTGTCAAGTGCAGTTTCAATGACCGGGAACGGCGCTTGGCCAAATCCAAAATGATAGACTGTGTGACCCTCCTGGATCATTTGACGTATCTTTTCATTAAACATAAGATTCGCGGCTGGCGAGTGACCGAGGTTTGATTTCACTAACGCCATCTTCCCTCTACCAAGTTGGTTCAGACAGCTGGTTTGAAATGACAGCGACTTATGTCTAAAACAGCTCGCCAGCAATGTTGTATAAGAGTCGTCTGCTCTAATACTAGTTTCGTCTCAACTACAAATATAGCTATCGCTCGTTTTCAACTAACCGTAAGGATAAACAATGTAGGAAGTAATTCCTTAGTCCATAAAAATAGTCACACACTGCAATATATCCCAATAAAACCTTACAGGCTATCTATGTTGACGTTTGTGAAAACAATAAATTTAAATTAAATGTACTTATGAACAGTCGCCCGAAGGCAGTGATACGGTTATGCGGTGCGCGACCGCCACCAAAGAATATGTTTGCGGTGGATCAACGCTGTTTGTGTGAAGTGAGATGAACAGAACTGAATAGTTCGCTGTTTACAATCATGCAACGTTACACGGTACATTATAGAAAATGCATTACGTACGTTTTGTTTGATCACACATGCTTTCATCCTAATAAAAGGGTTTGCAAATGAACAGAGGACAATATTCATGGGCGGATCCAGGAATTTTGAAAGGAGGGGTTTTGGGGTTTTGCCAACGCAAAACAAAAAATTTTCAATGTGATCCTAAGTAAAAGGGGTTCGAAATGAAGCCCCAGAGGACACTGATATTACTGGCCAGGCTGTCCAGTTAAATCTTCTTCACATGATCTTCAGATATTTTACACTAAAATTATGTACAGTATGGACACGTTTCTGCCTTTCACAACCCTTCGTTGGGGTAGCCCAGTGGTTAAAGCGTTCGCCCGCTCGACCCGGGTTCGATTCCCCACATGGGTACAATGTGTGAGGCCCATTTCTTTGTTCCTCGCCAGGATATTGCTGGAATATTGCTAAAAGCGGCGTAAAACTAAACTCACTCGCTCAAGTTCAAACGTATGTCGAACATGCATAGCGCGTAGTCCAATGTGTGGATATGCACACATTTTGTGACAGCACTACACAAATACGAGGGGAATGTGGTGAGCATATCTACACTGGTATCCTGAACACCGTGTTTACTCCACATCCCAACAACACACATATTCGGGCCGGTGATTCGTTGTAGGGGCCGGTGACAACTATTGTAATGATGTAACGGCTTGTTGTGGATACTGAGAGTGAGTGAGTGCGTGCGTGCGTGCGTGCGTGCGTGCGTGCGTGCGTGCCAGTTTCCCTTCAATACACATGCAGTGATTATTACACGAGCAAGTGTGTCATAGACTCAAATTAAAACTCGTGCAAATTATACAAAATTTCACACTCGTTTCGTATAAATCGTGTGACACTTGCGAGTGTAATCATTTCTGTATTATCCATTTTATCCATGTACAATTGTGCAGTAAAACACGGTAAGCAAGTGTGACGGCCCTCTTCATTCACGGCACGTTAATTGTGACGTCACAGACGACAAAATACAGAAACAATGGTTGCTAGGCAAAAGTGATATGTGCACATGTGAGTGAGTATAGTTTTACGCCGTTTTAGCAACATTCCAGCAATATCACGGCGGGGGAAACCAGAAATGGGCTTCAAACATTGTACCCATGTGGGGCGTGACGAGCGAACGCTTTAACCACTAGGCTACCTCAATCGGACAGAAGATGTCTTCGGGAGTCAGTAATTGTTTAAAGTAGTCGGGAACTTTAGACAGGTCATTGATAGGGCATGCGTAACATCAGCTGGCTAGATATGTCAAGAGCTGTTGACAGACGCTTGTAAATGTGTATACGTTAGACAAGGGTTGTATACACACGACCATAGCTGTATTATATCATATGGGAGATGCTTGTCATGAATAAATCAATAGCTCGATACATGAGTGAGTTTAGTTTTACGCAGCTCTCAGCAATATTCCAGCTATATGGCGGCGGTCTGTAAATAATCGTGTCTGGACCAGACAATCCAGTAATCAACAGCATGAGCAACGATATGCGCAGTTGGGATACGATGACGTGTCAACCAGGTCAGCGAGCCTGACAACCCGATCCCGTTAGTCGCCTCTTACGACAAGCATGGGTTACTGAAGATCAGTTCTAACCCGGATCTTCACGGGTTGCTGGATACATGAAGTTATGCAGAGATGTATACATAAGTTGTCAAGTAACGCTACATGGTATTCTACAGTGATTTCAGTATTCGCCCGTCACGCCAAAGACCGTGTTTGACTCCCGACTAAATTACGTTAAAGTCTTTAGTGGTATTCCCTGTAATGCTATTGCTGTCCAGATAGCATTCATCTTCTGTAATAAAGATATGAACCACTGCTGGCAACACACGTTTACACTGTGAATCAGTTCAGTTTGAGTCACGAAGTCTGGATAACACGAAGGGTTCGGTATACCCAGAGCATGAAATGATAACACCAGGAGCAGATGTGTTTCTGGAAACATTCCATGGATGAACGTTATATGTAAGTACACTACAGGCCATATACGCTTGGTCTCTGAATATATATAATGTTGATAGTAACCAAAAAAAACCATTTAAATTAAAACGGAGCCCCAGTCAGAAGGGAAATTCAGAACCTGGGGAAATCTAGACTTGCTTCATTTAGGATAGTCTGTCATACAAACCCTGCAGCAAGTATATCCAAGAAACCCACGCAAGTCTAGAAAATGTGGCAAGTCTAGATTTCCACAGCTTCAGGAAAATGAAAAAAATCTCAGGGCTCCTTTTCATTATGTTTTATTTGTTTTACTATGAGCTATTTTTTCTGAAAAATGTGTTCCTTTCAGATACTAGTTGTTAGTCTACATTTAGGGCTTTAGCATTGCAGGGAAGGCAAGGCAGTAGGGGAAATAATGTGGTTCAGGGACTGTGAGACAGACTACATTGCAGGGAAGGCTAGGCAGTAGGGGAAATAATGTGGTTCAGGGACTGTGAGACAGACTACATTGCAGGGAAGGTTAGGCAGTAGGGGAAATAATGTGGTTCAGGGACTGTGAGACAGACTACATTGCAGGGAAGGCCAGGCAGTAGGGGAAATAATGTGGTTCAGGGACTGTGAGACAGACTACATTGCAGGGAAGGCAAGGCAGTAGGGGAAATAATGTGGTTCAGGGACTGTGAGACAGACTACATTGCAGGGAAGGCTAGGCAGTAGGGGAAATAATGTGGTTCAGGGACTGTGAGACAGACTACATTGCAGGGAAGGCTCGGCAGTAGGTGAAATAATGTGGTTCAGGGACTGTGAGACAGACTACACAGCCCGGTAGAAAGCTTTAAGGGACCTTGGTCGAAGATACAAAGCGTGTGAATGTACTTTCATCTCATACCCGGGTTGAGATCCAACGTCTGTCAATCAAAACCGATTTACGGTGTCTAGTTACTGTCGTGCCTCTCACAACCCTGTGCCTGCTGTAGGCATGTGTAGTCGGCCTCATGTAGAACCTCGAGGTCAGTCTAAGAAATATCTATTGTAAACATATACGTCACGTAAAGTATGTTAAACCTGTTCCAATTCTACAAAGTTTTTTGAGCTTAACAAAAACACGCAGCCGTCGATAGTGGAATATCACGAACCTTGGTTTATCAGGTTTCTGAACACAAGCACCAAGGACTCTGTGTGGGGTAACGTTGAGAGGAAGTGTGTGGAACTTCGTGAGACTGTTGTTCACATTATCAGCGAGTGCTCCTTTTGAAGTCTGTATGCTGACTATTACCCTTGCTCCAAGGCTGTACTGAACGTTAAGCCAAAGGATATAGAGATCTATCCTTTTAAGAGACCCGTGAAGATCCGGGTTCTAACTGATCTTCAGTAACCACTGCTTGTTGTAAAAGGCGACTAACGGGATCGGGTGGTCAGGCTCTCTGACTTGGTTGACACGTCATCGTACCCCAAATGCGTAGATCGCTTATTTACAGATAGCCGTTATGTAGCTGGAATTGCTGAATGAAGTGTTAAACAACAAACCAACCAATCCTTTTAAGGGGAAAGTCAAGCTAAGTGGGCAGTAAAGTCTGTTCAAGAGACAATGTGTTGTTTTTATTTATGTTTTTTAAAGAAAATTTTAATTAAACTATTAATTATTACCTTAGAGACTTGTGCAAGTCTAGCTCACGATAGACAAGCACCATTTAGGCTGAGTGAGCGAGTATATGGCAAGCCGTTTTCACATTCACTATGAAATTAAAGATATCTTCAATTGTTTTAAAGATATCCGTTGTCTATTTAAACATATCAATAATGTTTTTAAAATATCGGTAAATAATCGAAGATATCTTTCATTATTGTCTGATATCTAAACAGAATTACTGATATCTCAAAATGTTATAGACATATCAAGAACATATTTCTTGATATATGTAAATGTGTTTGAAATATCAATAAAACAATTACGACCATAGTGAACATAAGTGTATTAGAAATTAATTCAAGGTTTTCTAAATTCCCTTCAAGATTTCTTGAAATAATTTACACATATCCACAAATGCATTACAGATATATTCAATTCCATCATAGATATCTTCAATTCTTGCTGTTACTGATATCTAAAAGATATCTTTATTTTCATTCAAGATATCCTTTAAACAATTTAAGATATCAGTATTTTTTAATGAATGTGAACACGGCTTGCCATACGAGTGAGAGAGTGAATCTGGTTTTACGCCGCTTTTAGCAATACTCTAGCAATATCGCGGCGGGGTACACCAGAAATTGGCTTCACACATTGTACCCATGTGGGGAATCGAACTCGGGCATTGGGCGTGACGAGCGAACGGTTTAACCACTAGGCTACCTCACCAACCCACTTGCCACACGAGTAGGCTTCAACAGCTTTTAAAAAGAATACAAAACGATGTGTTCGCTTTGTGTTATGCACAAGAGTTGAAACAATGTTTGAAAAAGTGCTAGCACATTACAAACACAGTGAAACGCAATACTGCTGTGTAAACATGGACGTCAAACTGGTAAAATATTGGGTCAGGTCACGAGATTGTGAGATTATCTATATTAACAGGAAAACTCACACCACCCATCCCAGAAGGGGAAACAAGCACCATATTTTAACCTTTCATTACCACGAGGAAGGGGATCGAATCCCCTATGAGTCT